TTGGATCGTATCGGCAAGCACAAAGCGCGGGAGAACCTTGTGAAAGTTACATCACCAAGGCTACCATGCCTATCATTATATGCATTAGACGTCCGCATTATTCTTAGGAACTACGCTCGGTGCATCGTGCGCTACTGCGCTTTGGTGCACGCAGTAAAAACGCTTTCCCGCTCAAATAAGAAACGAAACTTGGACGGTACCTCCTATCGCTCAGTACAAACTACTTATAAGCAGAAGAAATTACTGAGATTAAATTTTCATCTAAGATAAAGGCATATTTTTCGAATAATGATATTGACACACATACAGTACATATGTAACTTTTAATTCGCAAGCATATAAATAACTCTCGTGATGAAAATCTTGTAGTTAATTTTATGATATATGTGCAACGTTAATTTTTATATAACGTCGATGTAATTACGATTTTATTTGTTGTTTACCATAGTGTATCGTTTGGATAGAAATGTATGTAGTAATAGGAAGAAATGAATAATTAAAGACACTATCGCGGATTTAGATTCCGATTCCGTTTAATTTTTAACGCAACGCATATATGAATTTTATATATGTCCGGAATTCGGTTATATTGCGAAAAGTTAAAAATCCAAGGTTTTAATAATTAAAAAATATTATTTTTTGCACAAATTAGTTGACAAATTAGTTGACCGCGGCAAGCACATGATTTGACGAGTAATTATTCGACAATTGAATAACAAATATGAAACATACAATGTAATCATTTAGAATAATTAAAAATTAAAAATTAAAAAAGCTATAATTTAATGTTACAATTAAAAGTTATAAATATATGTATATAAATATATATATATATATATATATATATTATAAATAAATCTTTTATATTATATTATTTATATTATATTTTGTATTATAAAATTTTATTAATAAATTTTATTAATTTTTATTAACTCTCTTCAAGTAGAACTGTTAATTTTATACTTAATAATTATATTATCTAATTTTGTTCAATTAATTCAGCCCCATTATTCTATTCGCGATGAAAATGATATAAAATACGCTATTAAGGATCCTTTCTTTGAACAAGTTAGAGCGATTCATTCATGTACGATTCATTTACGTTTTATCTATAGACAAGCGATTTGTATAAATCGGTGATAGAATGGGAATTAGTTTCCGATAGAGATCGTGACTAAACACAATATCAGAATTACACAGCCGATGGATGCTAAAATAAGCAGTCATAAGTCATAAGTGCAGGCGGACGATCCCACAGTATCCGTATTATTCTCGCCACGATTCTTGTGCGATCAAGATCAAGGATTTTCCTGTTACCGTGCAGTTCTCACTGGAGACATATCTTGGATATTATCAAATCTTAATTTATTTAATACGAGCAAAAAAATATTTTACAAATAAGACGCTTTGTAAAACGCAAGTAAAGAAGTTGATGTTTTCGAAATGTTTCAGATTTAGATAAAAAAATTTTTTTTATTACAAAGATGTAAGTGCTTTAATTGAGTGAGAATACACATGAGTTTCAGAAACGAAAGATGTCTTGTTCATCGTTTGTTTGCATTGAACAGAGCTATTTAAATTTGACAAAAACTTGTCAGAAGTTTTTGAACAATTTGAATATAGACAAATATGTTTGTACACTTTTTTTTTTTCGCAAATGATGAGGCCTTTTTTTTTTAATCCTTTCACCGCTCCTTTTATTTTTCCGTTTGTAGCAACGCGCGCGACGGCATGGAGTGCATTCCTCGTGGCGGTGCAACCGTGGGGGTGACCGTTTCCTCAAGTATGCGCCTGGACACGAGGCAACGATGCTGACAGAAGTTCGTGAGGCATCGAAGAAGGAAGCGCGGGTTACGAGAGAAAGGGACCCGGAGAACGTGAGAAAGGGAGGAAAGAAGGAGGAGGACGGGAGAGACGCGACGGTGGACACGTCTTATGCATAATTCATGCAGGTGCCTTCCACGTATATTTTCGTGTTTAAATATTTGAATACCTCATTCGCTGCAATACCGAGGGAGAACGGGTTAGGAAAATATTCCGCCGCTTATTCACCGGGGTTCTTGGGCGCGGGTGAGACGAAATTGAGTATACCGACCTTCGTGCCCCCTGCGCGCGTCGTTTCTCCCTCTGCTTTTTATCATTTCTCCCCCTCCTTATCTCCCTTTGTGCCTTATTTTGATATTGTTTGACGCGCTGATTGTGAAACTAAAAACAATGACGGATTCTCTCCAATTTTCCCTACACGATGACGTGGCGGATATTAAAATAGAAAGCGTTAACGAGAACGCGATATTCGCGAAAGACGAAATGAAAAAGCTCACAGCTTGTCCTCGGCGCATTGGTGATTATTTCTACTCTTGTACGCAATTGTTCATTGTTCAGCGAATAATAAGGTCGATTACGGCCTATGCGTCATTCTCGCACTGCGAAATTATCGTATGCGTGGTTTATCTGCGGTTTTATTCTCAAGGCTATTTAGAACGAATTTAAAAGAACGAAGTAAAATTTCGCGTAACTTTTACAAAAATTGTCCGGAATCATTAAACGTCTCGCAAATTTAATATATTTGATTTTATCCTCGTAAGTATATAATTTACATCGCATGCCAGTTATTATAAATAATTATAATTTATTTCACAAATATATCTTGTGACAGATGATATTTTGTGACACAGATGCAAATACAATAGCGGAAACAACATTGTATTTCACAAAAGTTTCAAATAAAACGATTAAAGCCTTTTGCGCGTCATAAGCGTAGTCCTTTAAAAGTACATTTTAAATTAAAATAATGTTAACGTTACTTGATTTTAATTAAACTAAAATCAAAAGTAGAATATAACATCTATTTTGAGGAAAACTCACAAAACTTTACTTTTTATATAAGATTTTTACTACAAAAGATTATTTACTCAACTTTAAACTACTTTTCGTCAAATTTTTCTTTTCAATGTAAAATATCTTTATAATTAGATATTGTTTCATTTTTATCAAAAAGACTATAATTAGTTTAAAAAAATATTTTTATAAAGATCGTGAAATGAATTTAACAAAAAAAATTATACATTATCTTTACCCGTTTCATTATATAAATTGTAAGAAAATGTTTAAAATCTTTAAAAGTGAATTTGATTTGTTTATTGGCTTTCCTGATGACGTCTCTTCAAAAAATTGCAAATCAGAATATTTTTTCGAGGCACACATGTACGGAGAAGTGATAAAAAGAACGAGAACGGTATGTCACACTTAGGGGGTCGATAATGGAAGGGACAGAACAATGTCGCATCATCAGACAAATCATGCAATATGGCTCTGTTGCTCTTTTTTTGTGGTGGACGAGATAGACGGGACAGCATTTTCGTCATAGTATTTTTTGTTTTGTATATAAATACAGCACGTGTTCTTCCAATACGCATCTCCGGAATAGCATATAATTTTATTTATTAACGTGCTGTAATCGTAAAACAGATGGATAATGATAGCATTAAATCATATTAATAATACGAACTCACGAAATGCGACACGCGAGAAAGTATCGGAGAGATATAAATTAATTATTATCGTAACAGTGTTGCAAATCGATTACGTCTCGTATGCATAATTAATGCAACAGCTTGCGCTTGTCCGTTGCCGCGACACTGCAGTCACCGTTACAGGAAGCATTAAAGGTGCAATCTGAGCACGTAATGTAGAGCAAACTTTAACCGGATTAATTTTACGAATTCGCATTCTATTTTATGTTAAAACTCAAAGCTACAGTTACTTTCAATAAATATTAAATTACATATTTGATAAAATATCGTCCTTTCCTATATCAGTGTGATATTTATGTTTTTCTCGTATAAAATCGATATTAAAAATATATTAAAAATGTTTCTTGAAAAAAATGTAGCGAGTGAATCTTATTGTTTACTCAGTAGTCTCTTTTTATTCTTTCAAGAATTCATGAGAAGCAAATGCTTTTCTGTTTTTTTTCTTTTTCTTTTTTTTTTTTTTTCGTACGGCGACTGTGTCGGGGGGATTTCTTGTTCTCTCGTTTCTTTTGTAGTAAGAAACAAACGCGGCGCGGGATTGGTCGCACTCGCACCGATCGCACCTGTCTCTTTTAATTAACGGCAATCAGTAATTCATTGGCCGATAATTGGCCGTCGGCGACGGCGGAGTGCCCTCCACGAAACAAATCCGCGATAACGCGTGCGCGAGCAGCACGCGTGCTGACACGAGTAATTATACGGACTTAATGAGCGGGCCCACCCCGCGATAACGAGCACAAGAGCGCGCGTATGTCATGTGGGACCTTATCTCGGTACGGACGATACGAAACAGGGGAGAGGGGGGGGGGTGAGACTCCGCCTTTTGCAAATTATACATAATCTGTCTCTCTAGAAGGAGTAATGACAAAAAACGTAAATAGAGCGTAGCTAAATTTGCCGTTAGCAGCGGCACAATTAACGACATTTGACACGGCGTAATCAAATTTTCATTTTACCTCATAGGCCAGGATATTAATGAATGTATCTGCGAAATGCGGGACACGTTTAAATTTAATTACACGCCGTAATTACGGAGAGTATAGACAATTTCACATATCCCGACAATTTCGCACGTCCCGTCGGTCGGAAAATGTGACTCGTATATTACTTAATGTTAAATAAGAAATAAACACGTGTATGCTCGTATTGTCTTTTTCGTTTGTCGCGATCACAGTGTAAAAATTGACGAAACGCGCAGCCGGCCTGTATGGGGAAAAACGTTAAATGAGCTCTAAAAACCAGTAACGAACGCGCGAGAGCCGCGAGAGCGGCGAGTCGCGAAAAAAGTCGGCAAAAGGACGAAAAGGTAGGAGGAGAAAAAAGAGGCACGGCCCGAAAGTAGTTCCTGCACCTTGGCGCGCACTCGACATAGTCGTAGGTATACGCGCCTTGATAAAGCGGCGAGCACGGCCGCGCTATTTATAGGGCGCCGTCGAGCTTGTAAGTGCAGTAGGTACCTGTCTGCAAACACGTACTGAACACTCGCGTCGGTGGTACGAGGGATTAATGCCTTTTCAGACGGTCGGTCGAGCGCGTTAGCGAGAGAGCGAGAGAGCGAGAGAGAGAGAGAGAGAGAGAGAGAGAGAGAGGG